ACTGACCAATTTCTGTACAATTTTACTGTCGCATTCGCATCACACCAGCGGGCCACACGAAATCCGGTGCGTGAAGCGGGACTTCCTGCTGCAGACGCTCGCGAACGAGCTGCCCGAGGGCACCATCAGGTACTCGTCCAAGGTTGCGGCCATGGAGGAAGACGGCAGCGTGAAGACCCTGCACTTGGCAGACGGTTCCATCATAAAGGCCAAGGTCGTGATAGGGTGCGATGGCGTGAACTCGGTGGTGGCGAAGTGGCTGGGCCTCCCGAAGCCGATCCTGTCGGGCCGCTCGGCCACCAGGGGCCTCGCCGAGTACCCGGCGGGCCACGGCTTCGGCCCGGAGATCCTGCAGTTCATCGGCCACGGCTTCCGCTCCGGCGTGCTGCCCTGCTCCGACACCTCCGTGTACTGGAACTACACCTGGTACCCTTCCCCGGCGGACGGGGACGCCGAGGAGAGCGTGGCCAAGATGCGGAGCCACGTGGTGGCCAAGCTGCGGGGCGCCAATATCCCCGCGGAGGCGCTGGAGGTGATCGAGCGGAGCGAGATGAGCGACGTGGCGTCGTCGCCGCTGCGGTTCCGGTCCCCGCTGGCGCTGGTCCGCGGCAGCATCAGCCGGGGCGGCGTGTGCGTGGCGGGCGACGCGCTGCACCCGATGACGCCGGAGCTCGGGCAGGGCGGGTGCGCGGCGCTCGAGGACGGCGTCGTCCTGGCCCGGTGCCTGGGCGAGGCTTTCAGCCACGGCCACGGCCACGAGCAGGATGATGAGGGGCGGCGGGTCAAGGCGGCGCTGGAGAAGTACGCGGAGGCGAGGCGGTGGCGCAGCATCCAGCTGATCACGGCCGCCTACGTCGTCGGCTTCATCCAGCAGAGCAACAACGCCGTGGTCAGGTTCGTCAGGGACAGGTTCCTGGCTGGACTGCTGGCCAAGACGCTAGTCGCCATGGCGGACTACGACTGTGGCACGCTATGATTCTATCATCTGCCCCTTGGAGGATGGGCTGCAAGAAATAAAATAAAAAGGTGAAGAATCACATGGCCGCCTTGTACATCACATGGAACAAACTTTTGATCGAACTACGGTGATGTACGGTGTGCTGGTACGTAGTACGGAATACACTCGTTTTAGAGGAAATACTCCGTAATAAATAGTGATAAATCGGTAGTGTCAACAGTTGACTTGTGACCGAATGAAAGGAGTTTTCGTTGTTCCCATGGGCAGCAGAAACTGCCATAGCCACATGCTGCGATTAATGAAGCCAACATATACTACGCACATCGATGGGCGGGGATTAACAAACCGGTTTGACCAAGTGGCTCTTCATCCGCAAACGGGGATCTTCTCGCGCGCTCACGGTCACGAGCAGGTTGCACTTTGGCGTGCCAAGTGTGAAGAACCCTTGGTCATTATCGTTAGCCGACAATTTAAAGAACATGCATGCGTGCATCATGCATGGCGCCATGGCCTCGTCAGCGTGGATCCAACAATGCCTCTGGCCTCTATGGGCCTCTGAGGCTCTGACCCAGGGAAGACATGGTTGCAAAAATCAGCTTGTACGTACATTTCAATTTCACTTGACCGTACCGCAAAACTCGTCGCACGATTCATCATGGGCACAATTCGTCCCCGACAGAGAAGAGGTGACCTGACCTGAACATTCACGGTAGAGCTAGAGTTATTAGACACGCTCAGGGAGAGATTACTGTTAGAATTTAATAAAGCAGTCTGTAATTGCTCGGGCCAGTACCAGTAGTTTCAGGAAAGATAGAGTTCATGGATAAATGCACCGTGAAATTTCATCATTCTTTTTGATAGCTTAGATATCTAATAATGACAAAATTATATGAAAACAATGATGAAAATTCATCATAAGTTATGATATTCTCTATCACTATAAAAAACTGAACTTAAACTCGAATTGTATGTGGAGAAATAAATAGATAAAAATATTATTAATTGATAGACTGGAAAAAGTAAAAGATTCGGAGGGGTAAATGGAACACAAGATTAGTTTGGAGGGTTATCTAGACATTTTTTATGGGGGTGGGGGCCTAATTTGGAATTTTCTCCCTATACTTCTTTAATTGTCACATGTAAAATAGACTATGATTAGAATTCCTCATTCTTTCGTTCCAGGTTACAGTCTGTATGTTTTAAGCATGTCACATGTCCAAGTTGTACATAGTGCCACCGAATGCTTCATTAGGGAATCACAAAGGCATCACTGAATCGAGCTGTGCACATCAGTAACTTGGACAAATTGAACTTGAACCATGAACAAAATCACCATATTATGCATCGGGTGTCACTCAGGCTCCACCAGATCATAAAGTGCATACCGGTAAGACGATAACTTGGCCACATCCAAGTTCAAGTCCACACAATGCCACCAGATAATACACTAGACGCAATCCCCATCACCACATCATATTGTGAACATCAATAAGAAACACCAATGCCTAACAATGTCATAGGATGATTCATTAACCTTGATGGACTAGTCCAGTGAACTTGATTTCTGAATTCTTTTGAGGTTTGAGCCTGTCCAATTCAACTTCTTTAAGATTCTTAACAAATTGTTCACCTATTAGGGCCAGCCTTAACTAGATTTAGTGAGAGCATTTCACATGTGTGCATCCTAAATACTCGGAGCTCAAACCTTGGTCAAGGAACTAGTCTTGACCTCTCTTAACAACAAAGACCTATAGCGTGTCTAAGTGCCTCCAACACCAGATCATGCACTTAATTAGACATTAACTTGTCCTTAGTCTTCGTGAATATCCTTGCGCCAATACTTCAACTCCGAAATCTGGGGCCAAGATATACATGTAGCCTCAATGTGACTAATCCATTATGAGTACCCCTGCAAAACAATGTTAGCCACATAATCTTGGGCTCATCAAACACTGAAACTAAATGTGGGGGCTTTGATGTATTCAAAAAGCTCTTGTATATATGGGTGGAGGATAGGGCTTCTCTATCATTGGCTGATAGTGTACCTGAGAAACCTCCAGGTGAATGCCTTGATCCTGGCCCTGAGTGGTTGATGTTTGTGTTTGAAACTCTCTTTAGGATTTGAAGTGTTGATATTAATGTCTCTGCTACCCTGGGTTGGAATTGGAGACTGTTCCTGCAAAGAGGTAAGGAAATTTGTATGCCTCTTTGGTGGTGCATATTCCTTTGGGAGTTAGCTCTGTGTAATACATCTGCTTACTGGCCTGGTACACAGTGGATATCTATCTGCAAAATAGTGTTAGCTACTTGGTGTTTGAAATTTGAAAATGTCGGTGATCAAATGTTTGTTCCAAATGGAGGCATGCCTTTGAGTTTTCAGTGCAAGTGCAAAGAGGACATAGGACACAGGATACACGAGTGGTTGAGCAAGAGTGCAAGTGTGTTCACCTGCCTGTGTACCAGCTTATCTACACCCAGGTGTGGCAAACCTAAAGCCAAAATATCATTCAAATCAAGTGGTTTGACCATATGATCTAACCACACACTAGATAAATCAAGTCGTAGCAGTTAAAAGGAATCTAATCCAAAGATAATAAAGTACATTCAGAAGCAGCTGCCCTTAGTGGCTTACTCCAAAAGTCCAAATCTAATGGCCGCCTCAGCCAGTGGTGACAGTTGACTTGTGAATAAGGAAACTAACCAAAAGTTCCTTTCCGTAGATTCCAATCAACCTGACAATTCAACAGGGTTCTAGAGAACCCTATTCTGCTAGATGAGACTCTAGCCACTAGTCAGTGCTAAACTCCCCGAGTCCTTGTTTAGTTCCATCCCAAAATCTCAAAAAGTGCTACAGTACCTGTTACATGAATGTTTGTGGCCTATGTGCATGGAGCATTAAATGTAGACGAAAAAAAAACTAATTGCACAGTTTTGTGGGAAATTGCGAGACGAACGTTTTGAGCCTAATTAGTCCATGTTTGAACACTAATTATCAAATAAAAACGAACGTGCTACAGTAGCCCCAAATTTCAAATTCATGGAACTAAACACGCGGAGGCTGAAGCTACAGTTACCTACCTAACCAACTGTATAGTACACAGCTAAATTCCCTAGCCACTAACTGTCAGGCTAGGTAGGTACTCTAGGTTAAACCAAGCGCGTCAAACGGCACGATCCAAGGGCTCCATCGTGATCACGGGAGCCTGCAGATGCAGCAGTGTGTGAGGCTTCCTCGATCCGGGGACCCGGCCTCGCGCTCGCTCGTCGGTAATCACGCAACCCCCTCGCCGTAAATCCGGCCGTAATCCCATGTGCTCCACGCACTGGAGTCTCGTGAGTTCACGTGACACTCCCGGCTGCCTCTCCGGCTATCATCAGACAACAATAACTAATCCCTCAAACCTATTCCCGCCCGCCGTAATCATTGTATTGTTTGTTTAGTCGTACTACGTACAGTACGTATCGTATCATAAAACGTAACACCGATCAGTGCACATTGATCTCTCTCTCTCTCTCTCTCTCTCTCTCTCTCTGTATCTTTCTCATTATTGGCCAGATAGCTTGCGCAGAAAAAATGAATAAATGGTCGGTTTCTTGGATCACCGGGTGGCAGAGAAGCTACGGCTGGCCGGCATAGAAAAATGGAGGCGCCGCGCCGGCCGGCCGCGTGCAGAGCTGCAGAAGAATCTTTCTTCTTCGATTCGAAATGCCTGCCAATGGACGAGAGCGAACACTCTGAACTCTGAACTTCTGAAGCCAGAGATAGACTTTTTGGACGGACGGGAGGTGGAGAAAACAAAGAGGAATCGTGGCATTTAAGGCGCACGGCGCAGCGTCTGGGTGCGGCATGCATGATGGGCATGTGATCCCGCGCCGGGGTCCGCGCCCCGCCTCTCCCGTCGCCCGTCGCCCGTCGCCGCGCTCCTATTTAAGCACCGCCGCGATCACCGCCCTCTCCCTCACTCATCACCTCCCCACGTTGCATCGTCCAGCTCGCCCACCAACGTTAGTTGCCCCTGTGTATCCATTCTCAACTGACGACATGGCGCGCAAGGTCCTGTGCCGCCTGCTGGTGGCTGCCGTAGCAGCGTGCCTCGCCGCGACGGTCCGGGCGGGGTGGCTGAGGGGCTCGGCGACGTTCTACGGCGGGGCCAACGCCGCCGGCACAATGGGTGAGTGATCGATCAATGCAAGGCCTTTTTTGGTTGCATTCAGTGCATATATAATGAATGCGATGCAAGAGCTGAGCTGCAATGCGACGCATATATGTATGCACAGGTGGCGCGTGCGGGTACGGCGACCTGTACTCGGCGGGGTACGGCACGGACACGGCGGCGCTGAGCTCGGCGCTGTTCAACGACGGCGCGGCGTGCGGGGAGTGCTACCAGGTGCAGTGCGACCAGAAGAACAGCCAGTGGTGCAAGCCGGGCGTGACGGTGACGGTCACCGCCACCAACCTGTGCCCGGCCGACTACTCCCAGCCCAGCAACGACGGCGGCTGGTGCAACCCGCCGCGGCAGCACTTCGACATGTCCCAGCCCGTCTGGGAGAAGATCGGCGTCTACAGCGGCGGCATCATCCCGGTCTTCTTCCAGAGGTACGTACCTGCTACTGCCTGGTGCTACGAGCTAGCTGCTCGTCGTCGCTTCGACGGACGACTGATGACTGACATGGTACATGCATATTGCTGACTGCTGGCCCGCGCTGCAGGGTGTCGTGCTCCAGGAGCGGCGGCGTGCGGTTCACCATCAACGGCAACAGGTACTCCAAGCTGGTGCTCATCTTCAACGTGGCCGGGCCGGGGTCCATCAGCGCGGTGCAGATCAAGGGCTCATCCACGGGATGGATCACCATGTCCCGGAACTGGGGCGCCAACTGGCAGGCCAACAGCGACCTCAGCACCCAGAGCATCTCCTTCCGTGTCACCGCCACCAACGGCCGGTTCCTCGAGTTCTACAACGTCGCCGGCTCCAACTGGCAGCTGGGCCAGACCTTCACCAACGGCAAAAATTTCTACTAGCGCCGGCGCGCCGGCCGTGGCCGCGGCTCTCTGCTCGTCGCACGATGATTTCCCCTTCATTTTTGCATCTGGAAAGTTGTCAAAAAAAAAGAAGGCCTGATCTTGTTTAGCGTCACTGATATGCATTAGCGGCTAGGCGTAATGCGGTTCCGGCTGAGGTGGGTTTTCATGGGTCTCCGGGCGGCCTGATCGAGCTCCTAGTGTCCGCCATGCCAGCCGCTTTTACGATGAATGATTGTTGCTGGAAAAAAGAAACAAAGAAAAAAAAGAGTTAATTCTGTCGTGACTGCCTTTGCTTGGACAGAGGTTAATTAGCGTGGACCTGATCGATGGATGTGCCAAAATGGCGCTTGCTTATTGCGAGAAGAAGCAGACCACATGTGAGTTTACTGTTGGCAGTTTTTTTTTTTAAAAAATGAAATGGCCATGCAAGGTTTTGACTATTGGCCACTAGACTACGGTACCTTTCAAATTTTTTGACCTCGGGGTGAAATTGTTGATGACTTGTCTTCGAAAAGAAGTGCTGATGACTTGTCTTCGAAAAGAAGTCCTGATGACTTGTACTTACAACTATAGGATTACTGTCATGGCATGGGCGCACTAATGCCTAGGCTATACTTTTTTTTAGTGGGCAACCATTTGGGCCAAATCTCTTGTTAATCCTAACCTCATCATGGGGCTTTTATTGCATGCACTTGGGCTAACTGCTCCATGGGCTATACTAGTTTTTTTTTTGGTAGGGGGCAACCAGGGCCAAATCTCATGTTAATCCTAGACTCATTAAGGGGGTTTGTTTGGATGCACTTGTATCCACCCAATCCACGTGTATTTTAGTGGATTAGCATTACTACATAAATGATTTCGCAAGACACTGTCCAATCATTAACGGAGGCGGTCACAAAACTCACTCATCTCTTACGTGGCACGTTTGGTTCTCTCGCCTTGTCTTGGCGAGCGAAGCTATCCTTGCCAGGGCTGGAGAGTGGACATGGCTTGCCTGACTTGGTGAAGAAAAAACTTGACAGCACAAGAATCGAAGCAGCGAGCCAAGCCAACCAAACGTCGATGCATTTGCCCAGCAAAGGGCCAGCGAGGGATCCAAGGGACTGCTTGGAACCTTTGCTGGTTTTGCCTTGCCTGGCATAGATTGGATAAACTAGCTTGGCAAAGCAAGGGTGATGTTTGGTCCAGTGTTTGGTTTGCTCGCTTCTGCAGTAGCCCCAGCAGAGGGTTTCAGTCTGGCAGAGAGCGAGATGGATGCAGCAGGCAAAGCTTGCCCAGGCGGGAGAGCCAATTTGGCTTGCCTCACTAGGCAAGGAAATCCTTGCCGAGCCAAGCAAGTTTGGCAAGCAAAGCAAGCCTTTTCTGGTGCCACCAAACAGCTGGTCGCACCAAGCGAAACTATATAGTGTTGGCAAGAGAACCAAGCATGCCTCAGTCAGCGGCGACAGACAAACCTGGCGATGTGGCGGCGCCTAGCACCACCTAGCACCAGATATGTGATGAGATCTAGACATATGGTACAATTTATATCTAAGTGCAAAGGAAAAGCTAAAAGCTATATATCTGTCGATGTTTTACCGCCGATAGCCTGCCACGGGGGTACCCGGGACAGTTGTTCGGGCTTCGGTGAATAGCGGAATTCGGCGGTTACGCAAAGAGACTCACGATTTATACTGGTTTAGGCCCTCGACTTGGTCGAGTAATAACCTTACGTCCAGTTTTGGCGTTAGCCTGTTTGCGTTGTATTGCTTTGAGTATCGGGTATGCGTTCTCCTCTTACAATGGGTACCCTCTCTAGCCCTTTATAGTCCAAGCGCTGAGAGGTGTTGTTTGTGTCCTATTCGGATACAAGGTCAGAGTCCTAAGCTACGCTTCGGGCGCCTTTCCTTGTATAGTTTGCGTTGGAGTTTCGGTTTTGCACGTTGCTTTGCTCCGCGTTCTTCTTGGCGATTGGGTTGTAGGCCTTGTTACCAAGGCCTACCTCCCTGTAGTATGGTCTATGGGGGGCCCGTAGGGTTCCCCATCGACAAGCCCCCGAGCATTTCATGATTGAGCTTCAAGGGCCGAGTTGTTGTAGTCTTGATCCGGGTCTTTCTTGAAGTGAAATCTTGAGATGGTCTTCTTTGATTCTTCTTTTGGCTGATGTGCACTTTTGCTTGATGTCCTCTGGGTTCTTTTTCCTTTGAGTGCAGCGAGTGCAATTTTGCAAAAATTGCACTCATTGAGTGTAGCCCCCGAGCCTCTTGTTTTTTTTGGTACAAAAAAGCTGGAGGGTCAAAAAATTTGAAAATATGTTTTTCTGTGGTAGGTACTTGCAGCCTCCGAGCCTTCTCTAGGTTCTTTTCTGTTGAAAAGAAGCCGGAAGAAGGGTCTTGATTTGTACTCCTTTGGTCTTTGTCTTTTGCTGGTCACGGATGGGTTTTGTATAGCCATGAGTGAGCGTCTTCTTTTACTTTTTATCAGGAATCTTGCTTTTGGGCACTATTCGCCTTTGTTGCTTTGCTCTTTAGGTCGGCGATCGAGTTGTTTGGAGTGTTTGTGCCGCTCTTTGGGTGAAGTAGTCGATTGTACCACTCTTGGGGTAGACGATCGAGTTATTGGAGTGTTTGTGCCCCTCCTTGGGCAACGTAGTCGATCGTGCCGCTCTTAGGGTAGGCGACCGAGTTGTTGGAGTGCTTGTGTCCCTCTCTGGGCGAAGTAGTTGATCGTACCACTCTTGTGGTAGGCGACCGAGCTGTTGGAGTGCTTGTGCCGCTTCTTGGGCGAAGTAGTCGATCGTACCACTCTTGGGGTAGGTGACTGAGTTGTTGGAGTGCTTGTGCCACTTCTTGGGCAAAGTAGTCGATCGTATCACTCTTAGGGTAGGCGACCGAGTTGTTGGAGTGCTTATGCCGCTTCTTGGGCGAAATAGTCGATCGTACCACTCTTGGGGTAGGCGATCGAGTTGTTGGAGTGCTTGTTGTGCCGCTTTGGCGAAGTAGTCGATCGTACCACTCTTGGGGTAGGCGACCGAGCTGTTGGAGTGTTTGTGCCGCTTCTTGGGCGAAGTAGTCGATCGTACCACTCTTGGGGTAGGCGACCGAGTTGTTGGAGTGCTTGTGCCGCTTCTTGGGTGAAGTAGTCGATCGTACCACTCTTGGGGTAGGCGATCGGACCGTATAGCACAACCGTTTCCGGGTTGGTTGTTTTGCGAGGTAAGTAAGCAATCGTACTAGCTCTTGGGGTAGCGACATACCGATATATAGCAACAACCGTTTCCGGGTTGAGCTGTTTATGAGGCTGCCCCTTTTCCCCAACTTTGATTACGGGTTGGTTACGTCCGTTGGATGTAGTGTCGACCGTACCATCTCTTTATGGTAGAGTGACAAATGCTAGCTTGGGTCTCCTTACCCAAGAAGCTATTTGGCCGTTGGCCGTCAGTCAGACCATCTCCATATGGTTGAGTGACAAGATTGCCCGTATATCGCAACCGTTTCTGGGTTGGCTGTTAACAGGGAAGCCCCTTTTTCCCCAACCTAATTACGGGTTGGTTCTGTCCGTTGGACAGGGTTCATATTCGAAGTTGTTCTTCTTGAATAATCTCTGTTTTATTTCTTTTGAAACTTGAGTACAATCTATTGTACTTAATTGTAGAATCTTTTGAGCTGGCTGATATGCCAAGTGTTCTTTATAGGTATTTCATCTGGAGTCATCAACTCGTATGTGCCGGGTCCTGTTGCTGTCTTCACGATGAAGGGTCCTTCCCATGGACTGAGTAGTTTGTGTCGTCCATCTTTCTTCTGGATTAGTTGTAGTACTGAGTCCCCTGGCTTTAGTGATCGGGGTTGAGTACTTTTGTCATAATGTCTTCGTAACCCTTGCTGATATCTTGCATTTTGTATGATTGCACTGTCTCTTATTTCTTCTATTGAATCAATTTCTAACCGCCTTGTTTCTTCTGCTCCGCCTTCTTCATATTGTTCTATTCTTGGAGATAGCCATATTAAGGCCCTGTTTGGTTGGGCTTTTGGCTTTGGCTTTTGGCCCCAAAAGCCAAAAGCCCAACCAAAGGGGCTGCTTTTGGAGGATGCTTTTTCAGAAGCAGCTGCTTTTCCGTAGTTCATTTTTGAAAGCTGGTTTGACCCTGCTTTTGGCTTTTGCCTTTCTGCTTTTCGAAATTGGTGGAATAAAAAGCTCTTCCATAGTTGTTTCAAGAGAGATAAAGATAAAAGGTATATTTTATACTTGTTTAACCAAACAGCTTTCAGCTTTTCTACAGCTCACAGCCCACAGCAACTTTTCCACAGCTCACAGCCCACAACAGCTTTCTCCCACAGCCACAGCTCAACCAAACAGGGCCTAAGTCGGCTGGTAGTACTGCCTCTGATCCGTAGACCAGAAAGAACGGTGAGTATCCAGTTGCTCTGCTGATCTAGGTTCTTAGACCCCATACTACTTTTGGTAATTCGACGATCCATTTTCCACCATAATCTTTCAAATCTTCATATAATCTTGGTTTTAAACCTTGTAATATGAGTCCATTTGCTCTTTTGACTTGTCCATTGGCCTGCGGGTGTGCTACTGATGCAAAGTCG